AGAACCAATTGTTTTATAGCATTTTCAACGCTGTAGTTTATGTATAAAGGGCTTCAATGCGTTTATTTTGTTTCGGAAAAGTATTTCGCCATGCTTCAATGATCTTGTCTCAGATTGGTCAAAAACTGACAGGTGCATTCATGCGTGGAAATGAAGTTAGAGTTCCGAAACGAGATGAAACCGTTGATTGTTTTGTTTTCCCTTTCTCTGGGTTCATTCTCGGGAGTTGAAAAATCCATTCCCAAAGAAAAAGTAGGCAGATCTTCATCGGCTTGTTCGCTTGTTGCCATGTCTAGTTTAACTTTTTGCGGAAGTTTTTTCCGTTTTTCAATGGAAAATGCTTAAGTCACTCGCGAGAAAAAATTGTTTTTCGCGAGGCATTTGTTTGCTGACGTCCCCAGCGTGCACAAAGGAAAATTGAAGCACGCTCGCGCTATTGAATTTGACTGCATGGATTTACAAGCCATGTTATAAACAGAATTGTTCCCAACTGACCAAAAGTATTGCCTCTAAACGTTTTCAATTAATAACACAAAGCTGTACTCAACAAGGAGAAAGCAACATGATGTTACATGTGTACACATACTTGTGTAAAATCCAGTGTTCTATTTTCAACCACACGTTTGGCAATCTGCGAAAAAAGATAATGGTATTATATGAATATAAATAATTTGCGCGTACATAATTTGTTACTGAATGTATGACCACTACGTACCTCTATGATGAACACTCCACAACTTGCAGAGTCGACTTGGTGTGGAGATTTCGAGTGCGTGTTGCTCCATCCGCGAACATCATCCCCATGCAGTGACAAAAGATACCTAACAGAGAGGAAGAGTGAGAAAAAGAGGGGGGAAGAGAGAGAGAGAGAGAAAGTGGTTGATAAACACCTCAGGTTAAAATTCTACTGGGGGAATTGTTAGTTTTTAGTATTATTTCGCTAGGAGAAATTAGAGAACATTCTTACTAGTCAGCATTTTTAAACCCTTAAGTAATATGTAACTGGACCAAAACGCTTACAAAGCTCATCAGTTTAAGCAATACCTATTTTCATGTGACTCCATACTTCCATTTACAAACAGTCCTTAAAATAATATACCAAGTTAGGTTGTATTTCGATTCGAAGCTGAAAATAAAAATCACGTCAACATTGTCCTGTAAAACATTGTGCGAGCAGCTTACGTAAGATCCCCTTCTGATTTTTTTTTTTTTTTTTAAGATAGAACTGCAGTACTCGTTGAATGCAGCATTTTCACGCTGGTTCATCAGATCCCTGTAAGAAAAGGTGGCTTGTCACATAAATTTGCTCGTTTTCCCTGAATAGAACATGCATTTGTTACTCAAGAGTGAGTTTGTTTTCCATACCTCATTTTTCGGAAGAAGAAAGGCATAGGGTCATCGTTTTTGCTGTCGTAATAATGGATCTTTTTCGCTCTCATATTGATGACCTACATGAACAGTTATTCTTGCTGTAAGCGGCAAGCATACCAGAAAGGGGGGTCGAAATTACATAATAACCACACAAATCTTCATTTGGAACAAATTGACCTTACCCCAAGTACCCAGTGATTTCCATTCTTATGAATTGGTACAAGTACCAAATCACTCTTTTGTAATTTATCCTGTAGATTAAGTGAATATTATAGAGTGTTTAAGTACTTTTGTCAGCTAATTACATTCATTGACCTGATACAGTAAATGCAATACTACCGAGATAGGAACTTCTCTTACTTTTTTTATCCACTTCCTAAGATTTGCGACGTTTGACTCGCAAGACGCAGCACCTTTCAAAGACTCAAGTTTTTCGTACAAATACGTGTCCGTGCAGAAAACTCGTTTGCCCTGGTAATCAAATAAAAACCATAAGTCATGTAAAGTTAACTTCTCTGTAACGTCGAGTAGTTTTTTAATTCTTATACTGTTTCTAAATGGGAAAAAATGTTCTGTACCAAAAGGAAAATTCGACCCACCGACTTGTAACTTTTGGACCTTTTTTGGCAGAAGGTAATCTCGAACTGAGAAGTCGGGGGACAGAATTGTATTACAAATAGATAAAAAAAAGTGAACAGTGATATGATTAAAAAAAAACATCAACAACAAAAATAGGTCTGGTTCAAGGTGGCAATCTAGCGCGCTAAATATAAATAAGCTAGATGAGTTTCTCTCACCTCTCTCAGTGCGTCAGCTTGTATGATTTGGAATGACGCATTTATCACCTTAAGAGATAAAATTTTCAAAAGTCACTTCGTTAGTTTCACTTGCTATTTTCTTAAATAAGAGGCACTCTTGTTTCAGTTGGTTGAGTTTAAGATGCGAAGCTTAACGAGGAGAAAGTATTTGATTTCCCCTAACAATATCCCAGGAACTACATACTTACTTGATCGTTGAGCCATCCCCGACGCATTCTGTCCGCATCTACACTTTCGCGTGGATCGATCGTTTTAAAATCGGCAAAGCTGATTTTAACTCCCGCGACTTCTGCAATAGAGTTACTAATGTCCTTGACTTTAGTCAAGTCCCATGCAGAATGCACCTGAAGAGACACAATATAAATTGCTTTTTAATTAATAGTAGTCATTACAAACAACAGATGAATAGCTACCCAGGTTTCGCGCGCATATCATCCCTACTTACCAAGTTTCGTCTGGTGAATGCACGAAAGCCAAAGACGTCAGTAGGCTTACGCAGGATGAAAAATGGATAACCAAATCGGTAGTAGCTAGGTAGACCGGTCTCTGATTTTGAAATTAATGACCGAGAGGAAGTTGGACCTAGACTTGATCCTTCGAAAAAATATTTTTATAATGGAGAAACAAAAAAAAAAACTGAGAAGAAAATGAGTAATAAGTGAGTTTGTTTACTAAATTTAAGTGGACAAATTTATAAACTTCACTTGAAGAACGAACCTTTTCTTTAAGAGTATGCCTCTTCTTAAAAGCGTCATACAATGACTGTATAGTGGCCTTATTTGCTACAGAATATTGTCGTTTGCCGATGAGAGATACTTCTATTTTGCGACAGAAAATCCATTTTTCTGACACAATTTCGGTGTCTGATCGAAGGACAAATCTTTCTCCAGGTCTCAGGTCGAGAAACTGAATTAAGGGACCGTCGTCTTTAGTTATTTCTACAATGCGGCCCACATAGAATTTGTGGGGATAGAACACGGCAACCCACTCTGACTTCTCAAGGCTGTCTTCCTTTGAAGATAAAATACATGAACCGTGAAGGTTGTGAGATCATTGCAAGTTGAGAGGCACACAAGATGGTGAGGAGCGACCATAAATAATCAGAATAGATTGTTTACCTGCTTAACACGTTTTTCTGGGGGCTCAAGGTTCTCTCTCTTTTCGTAGAAATCCTGTAATAAACTTAATGTTAGGAAAGTGTTTGGAAAAAGAAAATTTTTAGTGCTGAATACTTGTCAAGTTCGGTCTTTGAATAAACGAAGAGTTCTTATCCCAAACTACGATTACATGCGAAACAAATTCGACTAAGGTACATATAACGACAGTGGTAAAAGCTATGTGGTTGGCGAGTTAATTATATTTTCATTGTACGATGTTTCGGTTTTACCCATATAAATGAAATCAGATGGCTTTACTTTTGCTATAAAGGGGCTGCAATGGTGCAAAATTATCATCATCGTCATCATAACAATTTAAGAGTAATAATTACTCTGTCTGTATATTAAGCCTTTCTTGATTTCCTTTAAGGTTTTCTTCCTATATAATTATACACAAAATAATATGTTTTGCGACTTTATAGTACAAAATGTGTTATTTGCGTCTCAATCTACAAAAACAAACAAGCTGCTAAAAGGATAGAAAAAGATTTAATCAGCATTGTTTCATTCTTACTTCCTTGAATGCGTGTTAGTGTTTCTTCGGTGATGTCAAATTATGCCTCCCACGACCTGCGATTATTTTAATGTGTACTTACGAGATCTGCATCTGCAACCTCATGGTTTAGCTGTTCATTTTTTTCATTTAAGAGCACTTTTCGCTGCAATTGAGAGCGATAACACAAAAAAAACTGTTATTGTGCAGTGTTAAACATCATATTTCAATACGACATCTGAAAGCGGGCCAGTATCAGAAACAAAGATATCGAAATCGTGCCCAATGGATCAAATTTCACAGTAATTTTAAATACTGTAAACATCGGCGAATCTCCGTATGTTAACTATTTCAGTCTCTCCAGAAAGTAGCATACTTTGATCAGACCACTGAAGGAAATCATTCTTACCCAGCCCACGTTGTCTTTAGCAGACTGCACATGCTCCAGCAAAAGATTTTCTTCTTTTCCGTTAACCTTTTTCATAAGAATATCACTCGAAGGTTAATTAACGGCTTGGCTTAAATCTAATTACAGCTTCTACTGAGAAAAAGTAAATTCAGTTTACCTTCACCGCTATTTTTAAGCTGTTTTCCTGTCTGTCTTCTTTAAAAGAGCGCAAAGGTTTGCTTGGCTACGCATGGAGAAAAAAAGAAAAGAGAAATTACGACTGTTGTATCAGTATTAAGTTTACTTTTACTTCTTCTTAATTTGGGCCTCAAATGTAGTCCGGCTCTTAAACATTCTCCTCTCAATAACTTAATGATCCTTAACGACTTATCCTTCTTTTATAATACCAGTACCTTAACTATAGAAACCTGGATATCTCCTGGGCTTTTTTGTGCCCTTCTAACCGGCTCCTGCATTAAAGAAAAAAGAAACAATACTTAAGAGTCAGCACGCTGCAGGTATAATGAAATTTACAGATTGTATGGTTGCGCACAACATATTTTTGGTTTGTGTGTGTTGATTTTCAAGCTACTTACTTGCTCAGCTATGTATTCTGGGAGGTCTTCCATCGTCATAGGTTTCTTGAGAGACGCCACCTCAGTTCGAAGTTTAAGTATCACCTGAAAGTGGGATTGAACCTTAAACTGTTCAGTTGTTTAAATTAACGCAATCAATTCTGCAATAAGTGGTTTTGGTTACCTTTTCGAAAGATTTTCTGAGTTCATCTTTGTCGCTCACAAGGTCGGTCATCTTATTTTTCAATCTTTCGTTTTCTTGCAAAACCTAAACTCAAAACAGATAATAACACGTGTAACTGACAAACAATAGGTTTTTTTTGTGTTATCGCTCTCAGTTGCAGCGAAAAGTGCTCTTAAATGAAAAAAATGAACAGCTAAACCATGAGGTCGCAGTGCACTGCGGCACTGCGGCGGTTAAGTGAAGCATTGAAGAGGTGCACATGAATCAATGATCCTGTCTCTAGAACTAGAAGTAATTTACTCACCGACTGCAGCGTTTTACGAAGTTCGCGAGTTGTTTTTTTCTCGTCATTGAGATTCATTTGGAGTCGTCTTACTTCGGAACGCTGATTAAAAGAAAAATTAAACAGAACTAATTCTCATCATCCAACAAGAATATATAGTAGTGATTCAAAAATTGGATTTTGGATTCTGCCGCCTCTCTTTCTGTGCTCAAAATGAAGCGGTTTTCCGAACAAAGGGAGTCCTAATCTGTAACAAGAAGTTAGGCACTAAGATTTCTTACCACATATCTTTAAAACGGAAATTCTAACATCAGTCAGCTAATAGTCAATTTAATTCTGAATACGTTAATGGTCGGAGCGAAAAAGTCGTACCTACCAAATCTGCAGGCTCATAATGTAGTTCTTCGACACCTTCCTCACTAGATTGTTTTCTGGTCGATGGCTCCTGAAAAATAAACAAGGGAGTTCAACCCGTGCGCTGGAAAATTTTTCCCACAATTAACAGAATTGATAGAGAAAAAACAAACAAACAAATAAACAAACCAGATCTTCCTCAACTTCAACAAGCCCTTGATTCGTTTTCTCAGTCTTGGAAACTCTGCTTAGCTTTATTACAGTAAAAAGAAATGAAGTTAGGTTTGATTACGGAATTTTACAAAGATGCCCTGTTCGACTGAGTAACTGAAATGTTGTTCAAAGAATATAATATCTCTCTTTTTGTATGAAATAAAAGACAAAATAGTAAAATCGTTATTTCTCATCTTACCTTGTTAAGATCGGCAATAACTTTCTCTCCATCAGCTACCTTTTTCAACACATCGTACGCCTCCTCCTCCGACGTCGATGCCTTCAAGAACTTAAAGGTATAGGAAGTAATCCTTTCGCTTCTGCTATACCTTGCGGGATTTTGGGCTATTTTTTGTACTTCAGTGAAACAACGTCTGCTAAGACGCGCAATTTGCTGCACTTTCTTCATGTTTTTATCCCCCCATTTCGTTTTAATGAATAATTCCATCTGTTTGTCCAGCGCTCTGTCTTTCCCTACCTGAGGCAGGTCGTAGTTTTCTGGTAAGCGGGACTTGAATCTGTACATCACCTCTCTAAGAACACATACCAAAGGCCAGAACTCTGGGACTTGGTAGGGCGGCAGACTTTGAGAGGCTGTTTCAATACCCGAGAATGGTAATATCGGAAGATAAAATCGCTGCTCAGCCATGCTCTTTCAAAAAGGTGAATTAGCAGGTGAATATTCAGTAGAGTTCTGTGCCTTGGGAAAGCGAAACACAAAAAAGGAAATAAACGGCGCTACTGGCTTGTCAAAATCACGCCACACTTAGACTCTGGTGTTAGAGCGAGCGCATTTGCTCCAGTAAATCGATAACTGTGAATGAAAAGCTAAAATTAACTGGAAAAATGGAGGAAATCAAAACTAAGTGAAGTCAGGTGTCACTCTAAAATGGTTTAATACTCAACGATCGGAAAAATTTGCGATACGTGCAACTTCCACAAATGTCAAGGTTACACGCGTCTAATCAATTTGGCGGGAAACTGTTGTTCCAACTACCAATAAAATACAGGCTGTGTAGAATAGCGGGAAAAATGACTTTACGTGCTCTGTTATCAAGCTAAATTTTGCTTCTCACAGCAAGATGATAACAGCAAAGTTCGGTGAGCTAGATTTACTGTTTGTTATTTGCTTCGCCCTTGTGGTTTTGGTAACGCTTCGTTGCAGTCACAGGAAGAAATGATTAACTCACAAGAGTTATCGCCAGGTTGTTTAAGACTGCGAGGAGGTGGAAGGAAGGTGGGCTATTGGTTATATTCCTCATTTTATTTCATCTATGTCATGGCGTCAGGGTGATTCTTAGTGCCGCCAGATAAAATTTTTAATAATATGCATGAAAAATTTCTCAGTTCTGATTGGTTAACATGAATGTAGTTTTCAGTCAATTCAGTGCAGGAGAGAGTTAATTCAGTGCAGAAGAGGGTTAATTCAGTGCAAAGAAAGAAACAAACCAGACATTCTGATTGGTCAATGTCAAGGTCAAGGTCAGGGTCAATGTAGGTCAATGTCAGTTTAATTTTGCACCGCGCGCGCTGTTGATTAGCGCGCTTTTCTTCTGCACAATTATAAGCTACCTCATAGTTTCTCATGTATATTATTAATATATAAACACATGATTTTTCTCGTGCAATTCGGAATAAATAAGCACTTGTAAATTTTTTCAAAGACCACAAACTGCACTTACCCTACGGGCTCAGGCAATTTTGTTAGCCTTTGAAAAAATCTACTCGTGTTTATTTATTCCAAATTGCACACGAAATCATGTGATTACCTATACAAGCTGTTTTACTATGTTAATAGCGACTGTATTAAATTTGATATTTGTTGTGATAACACGGAATTATGGACCCCTAAAATTTCAATGAATAAAAACATTTAAATCTTGGTCGTGAAATTGATGGACTAATTCTTCCCAATCGCGTGCACAGAATGGGATTGACGAAGCTCGCTCATGTAGCTGCGGAGGTGCCTGTAACTGTTTTATGTTTGAGGACGACAAGGATGAGAGGAGTTATGAAGAGGACACAGAGGTTTGTTTTCGATTAGAAATGCGTTAACACCGTTTATTGCCTGACAAACACGGGAGGCTTAAAAGTGTTAGTTAGCGCCCTCTCAGAAGATACTCTGCCCACAATACATTTCCAGTTAAGGATTATAAGTGGGTATCGTTGCTGAAGTTAATATATCGTAACTAGACCACTATTACCACGTGTTTTTATGCAAAATCAATAGGCGTTAATTCTTACTCATTATAGTGGAATATTTGTGATATGCATTTACGCTAAGCCATACATTCCATCCAGCCAAACATCATTCCTCCTTTTCAAGACATTTGTTCTTTCCCTTCAGGGCTGCTGGATGAGTGACATAAACGAAAGTTTCGATGATGATCGAAGGGTGAGCATTGTTCAAAATTCAAGCTTTTAATCTATAAACTTATTTTAAGTAAAAAATTTTTTACAGAATGTTTTCATTTATTATGATAGACTACGACATAGTTTCTTTTCGTGGTAAAAGAACTACATCGGGTATTAAAAAAAAAATTACAGAATATAGGGCCACTTATTTACATCTCATTGAATCACAATGCATCCTTTTGTTTTCTGCCTCATTCTTCAAAGCATGCCGACAAGGTGGACCTCATTGGCCCTAATTTTGTAGTTGCTCCGGGTATTTTTTTCGATTGAGGAAATAGAAAAAAAATGGAAAATC